GAAGGGACTTTGACGAAAAGAACAATTTGGACTAGTGATAGAATCCTCTATGGCATCATATAACCAAGGTTTCTAATATTATTTCTTAGGACACTGAAGTTGCTTTTCATGAATTTTCCTTTTCCCACCTAACATCCACTTCGCATGCAGGAAAAATGCAGCATTCAGTGTGGGTTGCTGAAGTAATTAATTCTAACACTGAAGTAATAGATGGCAGTTTGGCTAAAGTAATTCCTGCTGGTGTCTTACAAAAACAGGTCTCTTTCCGTAGAATATGGCAGGGGAAAGGTGCCCGGAATTCTGCTTCTAAGGTGCTAATCTGATTTGTTTTTTCTTTGCCATGCAGTGGTTTGTCTTTCTCCCATTTGTTCTTTTAGTTGGTTGATCATACATGACGTATGCGTTACTAATGTCGAGGTCCCTTAGGGAAACTTGGATACTAACATGATGCCATGGTAGCAATACAATCATTCATGAGGGTGGATGATTTTTGAGTCTTTCAAGGTTTAATTTATCCTAATTGCTGTCTGGTTTCGTATGTATCTGATATTTCTTGGTCTAGTCTGTTTTGTTCTATGCAGTGGAGAATTTTGTCCAGAAACTTGTCTGATTTTTGGCTGCAACTTTGTCCTATCTGTTACATTTTAGTTCCTTTGTTTGCTGCATATATTTTCTACCTTTTGTGGAGAATTTTGCCTTTGGAATTGAGTAAGTAGTTTGCATGGGGGAACTTCATTCAGTGATAATATCTAGATATAGTGTCCAATCAAATAATGGACATGGCAGGTTTTAACTTCATTGGAGCTTTTGCATATGGTTTGCAACACAAACCTCTTGTTGGCTTCCTCTGAAATGAGGTGGTGGTAGAGGCTGGTGGCTACCAACTCAGCAATATTTTTAAATCCCAATTTTTTTCCATTTACAAATTAATCATCGTTCTCACTAATTCAATTTCTTTTAAATATTTTTTTTGTTTGTTTCAATAGTTACAAAAATTATTTATACTTTGCTCCTTTGGGATTATTCAACTCATTCCTTGTATTTTTTTTATGAGATAATTTTTTCCTTGTACTTTATGCATGTTTTACATAGGAGATTTAAAGAATAAAGTAAATATACGTGAGCAAAAGAATACTTTTGACGGGGTAAAGGAAGTAATGAAAAACCACTAAAAATTCATCCTTGTTTTCCCCATAAATATCTCCAAAAAATTTATAGTTTTCCTGAAAATCCATAATTTTCATCATCTTCCTTCTCTGAAGGGTGAAACCACTGGGAAACAAAAGAAAATAAAAGATAAACTAAGCAGTATATTCGAATAGCTAATTTTAGAGAAAGAAAATATAGATAGATGAACATTGAGAAACTATGGGTCATAAAGAGGAAGAAGTCTGCTTCTGGCGGTTGGGGTGGAGCCACAGGGGATGGTTCTTGTTCTATCTTTTGGAAGACCACTGGACCAAGGATAATTACTTGAATCTGTTGTTCCTCTCTTTTACTGTATCAATTTGAATATAGTTCTTCTGTTCATTATTTTTTGTTCTTTCCTGATAATCATGTAAATTGTGATCTCTACCTTCTTAGTAATCTTACCGATCAGGAAACACTTGATTTGGTTTCTTTGAACTGTTTGTTGGATTCTTTTATTCCCTCTTCTTATCATGATTCTAGAATTTGTTCTGTTGATTCTTCAAGATCCTAGGACTGGAAATTTTTTTTTTGGTTGCCTCATCCACAGCTGCAGTAACAATAATCAGCTGCAGTAACAATAATGTTATTCTTCCCTTCTTATTCTGGAAAGTGATAGCCCCCTCAAAGGTGAGAGTTTTTATTGGAGAACGGTCAGGAGAATTAATATCAATGATTTGCTTTGAGTATGTAGACCGGAAAATACTTTTTCCTGTGATGTGTTTTTTATCTGTTTTTTTCATTGTTAGGTGGCTTGGAAGGTTTTGGACTAAACTTTTTCATCTTATTGGCAGGTTTGGGTTTGAGCCCCAAACTTGCAGATTTCATTGATTCATCTTTATGTGATTTCTGAAAGACTAAAGAGCATTCTATTATTCTGAGAGAGGCTATTTTTTTCTGGCCTTTGTATCATTAGTAGGAGAGAGACACAAGGTTTTTAACCACCATTCTTATTCTTTCAAATGTTATTTGGTATAGGGTTGTGTGGTTAGCTTTTCTTTGGGTTTTGTACACAGTATTTGTTGGGGGGGGGGGGGGGGGTTTCCTCTTCTATGTTTTAGAGGGAGTTGTGGAATTTGCAGCAACATTTTGGTTTTCTTTGTTTTCTTGCATGTTCCTTTTTCTCTCTTTAGAGGTCCAGATGGCTTATTCTCCAATAGGCCACATCTCATCTTTCATCATCTAATATATTTTCCTTTCTATGAAAGAAAATAGAGAGTTTTAAAGGTTTTGGAAATTTCAAGGGAAAAAAGAAAGGTTTGGATATGTTGGAATCTTTTGGGAACAACTTTTTTTTGTACTATAGAAGAATAATTTGATACAGGACAAGTAGCGGCTAAACTATCTTGTTTTGAGGATAATATAGAAATAGAAGAAATTTAGGTGAGAAAAAGAAAAATATAGATAGGTCAGAGGAAATAAGGAACCGAGATGAAGAAAATACGGAGAAGCAAAATGAGCAGGATAGGTTAGCTAGAATAACACCAGAAGAACAAAAACAAAGAGAGATTTTTTATTTTGAAATAAAAACAAAAACAAAAACAAAGAGAGATCATAGGAATATAACTCTAACAAAGAAATTCTTAATTCATTATTGTCTTCTCATTTGTTGATAGCTACTAGCCTTTACATAGACATTACTTGAAACAAAGAAGGAAAATTATAAAAGAGTAAATCTAAAAGATTTTTATTGCTAGAGTATTTAAAATCTACCTAACAGAACTAAAATATTTTAGTACCCAACGAAATGTAAATAACTTAAAAATATAAAATTGTAATAATTATAAAATATTTCTTTATTTTTTTCTTTTGAAATAATACAAAGTATTTCTTTATTAGAAAGTTTATTCCAAATTAAGATTTTCTTAAAACTTTGAAGCACTCTTTCCAAGTCTAACGCTCGAGTATGCAACTTAAAATTAAAAAAATAGCTTTCATATAATGTTCTATTTACAATAAGGTAAAAATACCGAGTAAAAATCGTCTCAATACATGGTGCTAAGTTAGCCAGCAAAAAGTAGAGAGTGGTCTTTATAGTTACTCATCTCCCTCTCTCCTTCTTCCCCTTTCCACCATATTTTTTTTTCATTTTATCCACAACAGTCATAATGATATTTTGCTTTCAGTGATTGGCATCACTCACCCAATGCCACCTGGATTGAATTTATCTTGACATCATGGCTTAGTTAACCATTTGAACGTATAGTTTTCAAAACTGGATTGTGTCTTTTCTAAACTTTTCTTTTAGTTCAATATTAATTCTTTTCAAAATAAAAAAAAATTAAGTTCTTTTCACTTTAGTTCGTTGAAATGATTTCAGGTTTTTCTGGCAACTGATGATGATGGAGCTCCTGTTATTTGTTTTTTGCTCCAAGAAGAAAAGAAGTTACTGTCAGTAACGCTTCAAACCTTTGAAATCAATAATGAGATCATCTTTGATATCAGACCAGGCATGGGCTGGAGCTTGCCTGCAATTGCTGCTGCCTCTGTAATTGTGACGCACCCAAGGTGGAGTAATGTTCAATTATCTGTTTAAAGTTTCCATTCTGGTTGATCTGTTTAATGATGCAGTAGCATGTGTGTCTCCAATATTCAGAATGAAAGCGGGCCTGCTGCCATATTCGGACATCATCATTTTGTCTCAAGAAAATGCCCTTCTTCTTTATGTAAGCTGGATGGATAAGTGGCTTATTTTAATTTATCTGCTTCTGATTATTCCTTTCTAAGTTCTCTTCAAATCTGATAAGTTATGGTTTTTATTGCATGTTGCAATTCTCTTAAAGCATTCTCATCCCAGATAACATCCATATTTTCCTAGACAATAGTGTTGAGTTTCTGACATTGAGTTATTGACATTTTCAATTGTATACCTCTTTTGTACTAAAGTAGTTATTTCCATACTGTTTGTTCTTTATGGATTTCGTAACTATCTCTAGCATAAGGAGCCCCTATTTTCCGTTTTAGTTTGTTATAGTGCTTATTTGAACATTTATTACTCTATTATTTCCTAGTCATGAGAATTGCTGAGTAGAAAACGAAAAATATATATGTGCCACATGGTGAGAGCTTTTTGGAGAGAGGATTCATGTATTACTCATTGTTGTTTGGAATGAGTCGTTGTTCTTTTATTTCATGTAGTTTCTTGAGTGTTTATCTGTGATGGATCTCATTAGTTATATCATAAGGAAGATGTTTTGTTGCTGCAATTCTCACATAGAAAGCTATTCTTCATACTTCACTAAATATTTCTATATTAATGTTCAATTGTTTGATAATTTTCCTGTTTGAGCATCTTTTTTTTTTTCGGTTTCTTTCATATCTGGAACTTGATGCTTTCTTATAAAGTTTGGATGTCTTTATCTCAGTTCTTTTTTCCTCTGCCAGAGGTATATAT